CTTTGAAGGAAGTCTGGATGGCGGTGTCTCAACATTATACCGGAATTGGGGACACAGGAGTCAAACTAGGTTGGAGTCGAGAAAACCTATCACATGAGAAAACACCGTCTCTAAACAAAAAAAAAAAAAAAAAAAAAAAAAGAAAAGTAAATGCTATAAATTAATATTTAACATGAAAAAATTAAAAAGAAAGTACTGACTCATTTAGAGAAGGGTAGAATACTTAGGTCTATAGAAAAGAATGGAAAAGAAAGGAGAAACTGTAATCTAAGAACCATGCTGAGATGTATAAACAAAGGATGAAATATTCAATGTTGGACAGTTAACACTAGTTCTGTTTTTTTTTGGGAGGCAGAGTGTTCACTCTGTTGCCCAGGCTGGAGTCCAATGGCATGATTTTGGCTCACTGCAACCTTCCGCCTCTCAAGTTCAAGAGATTCTCTTGCCTCTAGCTTCCAATAGCTGAGATTACAGACATGCATCATCACCTGGAGCTATTTTGTACTTTTAGTAGACACGGGGTTTCTCCATGTTTGTCAGGCTGGTCTCGAACTCCCAACCTCAGGGTGATCCCCCACCTCGGCCTCCCAAAATGCTGGGATTATAGCCTTGAGCTACCGCACCCAGCCAAGATGGAGTTTCACGATGTTGGTCAGGTTGGTCTCGAACTCCTGACCTCAGGTATCTGCCTGCCTTGGCCTCCCAAAGTACTGGGATTACAGGCCTAAGTAACTGCAACCTGCCTCACATTAGTTTTGAAATGATGAAAGCCTCAAGAAAAAGCCTTGTTTACTTACATTATGTTAAAGAATTTATTTTTTCCTTCTCCCTAGACTGCTCGGGAGGAAAAAATTTATTTATTTATTTATTTTTGAGATGGAGTCTCACTCTGTCACTTAGGCTAGAGTCCAGTAGGCACAATCTCAGCTCAGTGCAACCTCTGCCGCTCGGGTTCAAGTGATTCTCTTGCCTCAGCCTCCCGAGTAGCTGGGATTACAGGCACCTGCCACTGTGCACAGCTTATTTTTTGTAGTTCTTAGTAGAGATGAAGTTTCACCATGTGTGGGCCAGGCTGGTCTTGAACACCTGATCTCGTGACCCAACTGCCTCAGCCTTCCAAAGTGCTGGGATTACAGGTATGAGCTACTGCACCTGGCCAAAGAAATTTATTTTTATAGATAGCAGTTTCCTTAGGAATGAACCTTTGGGCCACAGTAACAAATATTTGTATATGACTTGGACTTAACCATTATCTTCTCTCTACTCATAATGTCCACTACTAAATGAGTACTTCTACTTTAATACGAGAAAATTGCAGGACCACATGCACTCTTAAATGAATCCTATGCAAGCTTGCAGGTTTCTATACTAGCTTTTGTTACATGGAATTGAAATTACCTGATGTTCGCCTATGTAACTTATTTCAGGGCAGGATTGTGCCTTATCTTTCAACGGCTTTCCATTCATTGTCCTTAAAGAAGTCCAATCTTTAATATGGCATAAAATACAATCTGGTCCCGGCCATCTCTGGCTTTACCTCTCAGTGCTCTCCTCTGCCTGGCAATTTGGCCACACTTAACACTCTCAGAATCATCAATGTACTACACTTTTTCTGACAATAGCTTTTGCACAGGTTATTTCACCTGCCCAGCATACCTTGTTCCATTCTTCTTGGCTAACTTACTTTCCTGGTTTCGACAGATACTATTTTCTCTGCCAACTTCCCTTGAACCTCCCTCTCGTCTGGGTTAGCCTCTCTTTCTTTTTTTTAAAGATGGGGTTTCACCATGTTGGTCAGGCTGGTCTTGAACTCCTGACTTCAGGTGATCCACCTGCCTTGGCCTCTAAAGTGCTTGGATTACAGACGTGAGCCACCATGCCCGGCCTGGGTTAGCCTTTCAAGCATACCTTCCTCTTCCCTCATTATAGTACTTCTCACACCTTATTATAGTAATTGCATTCTAATTACCTGTCTTACCGGCTCAAACTCTGTGAAACAGGTAACAGTCTTGTTCATGAATGTTTCTGCCATTTTAATTGTGCCTGGAACTCAGGAGGTGCACAATAAACACCGAGTTTGCTAATGACAAACACCTGGCAGCACACAAATTCAGCAAAAGCTTCAACAGTTAGAAGATATTTGGGGTTGATGGGGGGAAAACAAACCAACCAACAAAAACACAAAACAAGCCTGGTGGCCGGGCGCGGTGGCTCAAGCCTATAATCCCAGTACTTTGGGACGCCGAGGCGGGTGGATCACGAGATCAAGAGATCGAGACCATCCTGGTCAACATGGTGAAACCCCGTCTCTACTAAAAATACAAAAAATTAGCTGGGCATGGTGGCACGTGCCTGTAATCCCAGCTACTCAGGAGGCTGATGCAGGAGAATTGCTTGAACCCAGGAGGTGGAGGTTGCGGTGAGCCAAGATCGCGCCATTGCACTCCAGCCTGGGTAACAAGAGCGAAACTCCGTCTCAAAAAAAAAAAAACAAAAAAAACAAAAAACAAGCCTGGTGAAATTAAGTGGCCACTTCAGGGAGCTCACTGCTATTTTAACTTAAGAAAATTCTGTACATGCACTATTAGCCACAGGGGAGATCAGAGGTGTTCTGTATGGCAAAGGAGGAGGAAGTTGCAGTGAAGTGAGTATTAAATGTTTATTTTGAGGACATTCTGCTGTGACCATGTAGTTGAAAAAAAAAATCACATTACATATCATTAATCAACTAGGTTTTAACTAGTACTAGCTGATCTCCTACCTTGTTTTTTCCCAGTTAATTTGAATGATGCACTGCATGAAAAAGAAACTCAGATTGCCATTCTCACAGCAGTCTTTTTGATTACTTTTTGAAAAGAGGTAGTCTCAGTTTTGACCACCTGTTTATTGCAGAAGGAGTAACTTAAGCATTACTTCACATTTCAGCAGTGTAGTAGTCTCTATGGGGCCTTTCTTGCCCATCACTTAGATAAGCTGTGCCCTTTATTAGGCTAAAGTAGCAGTATTCTAAATGCAGTGGGTAAATTTGAGATTGACTGGATAAAGGTTCAACACTATTAAAGGATTAGTACTATATTGTGAGCCATAATGCTTTTACAATAAATATGCAACCACATTTTGGTTATCATCAGCTGGTATTGCATGTTTTTCTGTGGCTGCAGGAGTAACAGTGGATTTAGAAAAGTACCAATGAGTCAATTAAGGATTGTAAGATCCCTGGGAAAAGCCAAGGAACGATCAGTCTTTCCTATACTCCCAATAAAATCGCTCCAGAAGACAGACTAATACCAATCACTTCATTTACTTCAGAACATAATACACATTTTGACCCAGGGAAGATGCTAAATAATAACCTTGTTTAATTTATCTGTAGGAGAGTTTTTTGCAAAGGTAGTAAAACCAGACAAGTGAATAACACACATCAAAGTCAGATTTAAAATGTAGGTCATGGCTCTGTCCTACTGTTAAAGATGCTACAAAGATATATACTTAGAATAGCACCCTGTTCTCTCTTGGGGAGGCTGTAGTCAAGACGACAAGAAGTACTCCAACATTGTTATAGACATAGATGTTGTCAACAGGGTCTTTCTGTGATTTTAGCCAAAAGAAACAGTGGAAACGTTATTCTAACTACTGACATGATTCATCTCATCACTTTGGCATATGGTATTACTATTTCTCCTACTATAGCAAGTTCTAGTTTTCCCAAGACCTTACTCTCACTCTTTTGGAAATAAAGTTTAAACATATATATTTGAAACCTTCAAATTAAAATGTTATCCTCATATATTCATGTACTAGGTTAATATCACCACATGTATCCTTTCCAATTTCAGGCTAAACAGATGTGCATTTAGAGTGGTTTAAAGACAACCCAGCTTAATATCAAGAGAAATCATGACCTTTCATGGAATATTTGATGGAAAAAACACTGATTTTTAACATATCTTATTTTATTCAGATAGCAGTCTGATCACACGTGGTCCAGTAACACTCAAATAATAAATCAAATATAACCAGATGTTAAAGATTGGTCTTCAAACATCATAGCCAATGATGCCACGCTTGCCTATGATCTCTCCGACATAAAACCACATCAACACCTCAGTGGCCACCAAACCATTCAGCACAGCTTCCTGAAAAAAGAAGCATACATTTTAAGGTATCTTTTTTTCTTATATGTTTAAAACTATTCTTTTCCAGAATTAAGAGACAAAGAACATAGAGATGCTTTTCAAACTAGAAGGCAGTTTTACTCAAAGTTGAGAATTATGAAGATTACTTTCGTTCAATTGCTAAGAACCCTTGAACTTTCAATTTTTAAGGTAGTCAGAGCTTATAAATTCTTTCAAAGCATTCTATAAAGATCTGAACTGACTTAACCCTTTCATTATAAGTTTATGAGACACTTTATGAGCCCTAAAACAACCCACATCCTGGATAGCTGGCACATTTAGATAGGGTATTCATATGAAAGGATGGCTCTAGGAAGACTGAATCTCTGAACATTTTTGTCTGGCAAAAGAAATCTGCTGAAAGATGAAGTGCTGTCTCCCCCTTTAGACCTCATTTTTATTCATTTACTATTTGACTTGACTCTTACCAAGTATCTGGTATTCATATCAACATTTTAGTGCCCCAAAGAGAAATATACACATATGGCTCAGGAAAGCAGCTATTAATACATGCAAAAATATGGATCTTGAAATTCTAGTTGAAAAAATAACTTTGCATAACAAAACTGGACCTTTTCCTTTTAGCACTTCTCGAAGTGAATTTTCCCCATCAAATTAGGCCAGAAGTTTATGGAAGTCTTCTGAAAAGCAACCGTATTTCCCAGGACGTAGGCTCTAAAACCCACAATTATTTAGGCTTTCTGTACTCTGTGCTTGGATCATGCAAATAAAATCCAAGTTCCAATTCTTTTTTTTTTTTTTTCTTTTAAGAGATAGGGTCTTACTCTGTCACTCAGGGAGTGGCACAATCATAGCTCACTGCCTCCTCTAACTCCTGGGCTTAAGCAATCCTCTCACCTCAGCCTCCCAAGTAGTTGAGACTACAGGTGCATGCCACTGCACCTGGCAATTTTTTTTCACCTTTTTAGGGCAGAGATAGGGCCTTGCTATATTGTCCAGGCTGGTCCTGAACTCCTGGCCTCAAGTGATCCTCCTACCTTGGCCTCCCAAAGTGCTGGGATTACAGGTAGGAAGTGACTGCACATGGCCACAGGTTCCAATTCTTAGAGTTTTTAGATTTTATCTTCACACAATTCAATAACCCAGGTTTGGTATTTTTATCCTACACATAAGAAGTGTTAGCTTCCTGACTGTGATATAGTTCAAGAGATATTTTGGCTGAATAGGGGACAATTCCAGGAATACAGATGAAAAAAGTACAGATTCAGCAAAGCAAGCCATCATATTTTAGTATACTATCTAAACCGGAAAGGGGAAAAAAAATTCCCAATAAATAATCTCACTTTTTTGCTAGGTTTAAGATGCTTAGGAAACTAAGACATAAAATAGGCTAATTATTTCTACCCTGGTGACAAAATTAGAAAAATAAGTATCTTCCTCAGCAGTCAAAAATAGGATTTAAGCCTGCAACAACCAGAGCATCAGAGCCAGGATGACCCCTGGGTCCCATTCCTAAGACGTGGTTACTTTATTTTCCCCTTGTTAAGACATAGGAAGACTTAATTTTTAAATGGTCAGTGTCCAGTTGAAGGCAGAACACTAATCAGATTTCAAGGCCCACAACTTGGGGACTAGGCCACCTTGTGTTGAGGGAACTCTGCCACCTGCACACAACCCATGGCTAAAGTGAATTCAGTGACACTACTGCCCTGATGACTCCTTAGGATGTGGTCAAAACAGCATCAAATGTTTCTTCTCTTCCTTTCCCCAAGACAGTGTCCTCAACCTGTTAAATTAAGTCAGCCGGGCACGGTGGCTCATGGCTATAATCCCAGCAGTTTGGAAGGCCATGGTGGGTGGATCACCTGAGGTCTGGAGTTTGAGACCAGCCTGGCCAACATGGTGAAACCCTGTCTCTAATAAAAATGAAAAAAAAAATTAGCTGGGTGTGGTGGCACGTGCCTGTAGTCCCAGCTACTCAGGAGGCGGAGGCAGGAGAATTGCTTGAACCCGGGAGGTGGATGTTGCAGTGAGCAGAGATTGCACCACTGCACTCCAGCCTGGGGGACAGAGTGAGACTCCGTTTCAAAACAAACAAACAAAAAACTTTTTTCTCGTTCTGTTAGATTCAGCCTCATTGGAAACACATACATTAATTAAAAAAAAAATCAGAAAAATCCCAAGGGAAGACATTTTCTGTTAGGCACATCCGTTTTCATTTAGCCCATGGTTACCTTAACTGTGAGTTGTTTGAAGCTACCAGTCTGAGCACTATTGACTATTTCTTTCAGGCTCTGAATAGCTCTAGGGATCTCAGCAGGGGTGGGAGGAATCAGCTCAACCTTGGCGTAGTACCAAAATGTGGCCAACTGAGGCTTCGAGTAAGTCACAGCAGCTGGAAAACAAGACAAAACAAAAAAACCAGGATGAACTCACTAGAGACCAAAAGAAGCAGATGTGTAGGCTGGACAGAAATATTTATTTATGCATCACCTTCATTCACTGCTTGTACCAAATGTGCACCCGGTGTGAAAAGTCAAAGCTGCTCCCTGGTAACAAGAGGCTTTTAAAGAAGCAGAACACCTGTGCCACAGGGACGTTCAATCAGGCAGGATGCTACAAGCACATTCAGTTATGCCAGTTCTTGACTACTGGCCAGCTACTACTGTATTTCATTTATGAATGGCAAATCTAGCTAACTGTAAAGATGCTAGAAGCTGCATTTAAAAACAAGAGAACAGTCAATTTATTCATATTTTCTTGTAGAAAGACCAGCAAATTTGAAGAAAGAGGTGAAGAAAGGGATGAAGGATGAAGGATTTAGAATCCCCCACTGTAATCACTCTTAAGAACAAGATAAAAACTTATCATAATATTATCTATAAATCCGGATGGAATTATAATAACTGATACCCATTTTGGTATCCCTATCAATATGTGCTGGATTAAATTCTTTCTCTAACAAAAGCACAGCTGCTCCTCTTCCAAAGACACCACAAATAATAAAAGTAAAACCTACATGTATTGTTAAGAACAGCCCAAACTAGAATCTATTACTAAGTTGGAATTCCTCAAGGTATTTACTATTTCAAGAGAAGAGATCATTAGCAACCAGGGTAGCTGTGAGACTGTGGTAGTGATTTCAGAAAGAGAAAGACATTTTTTATTTAAAAAAAATTACAAAAGAGGCTAGGTGCAGTGGTCATGCCCATAAACCCAGAATTTTGAGAGGCCGAGGAGGGAAGATCACTTGTGGCCAGGAATTTGAGACCAGCCTGGCCAACATGATGAAACCCTGTCTCTACTAAAACTACAAAAATTAGCTGGGCATGGTGGTGTGTGCCTGTAGTCCCAGCTACTTGGGAGGCTGAGGCACAAGATCGCTTGAACCTGGGAGCCAGAGGTTGCAGTGAGCGAAGATCTCACCATTACACTCCAGCCTGGGGGACAGAATGAGACTGTTTGAAATGTAATAAAACCAGCATGAACATCCATAAAGTGTCTGTTGTTCAAAGACAGATTACTCAAGCCTCTTGCTGTTTTCCTTGTATTAACTGCCTCTGTTTGAGTATTTCTGAATTACTATCTCCCTTGTCTCCCTCGTCTTCTGTGTTTGGGGGTACAGGCTACCTTGAAGCAGACACAAATCTCCAAGAGGTAGTTCCAAATAGAACTGCCAAGGCCTGTAAGATGCGGCAGTCAAAAAAAGTATAGTCTTGTGGAACAGTCAACCAACTCTCTTTAATATTATCTCCAACACTGACGCAGAATTGCTTCAACCCGGGAGGCAGAGGTTGCGGTGAGCCGAGGTCGTGCCACTGCACTCCAGCCTGTTGACAAAACGAGACTGACAAAAAATAAAAACAAAAACAAAACAAAACAAAAAACAAAAAACGAGACTGACCAAAAAAAAAAAAAAAAAATCTCCAACACATAGGTATTTCACCCTATAAAACAATGAATCAGTATACTGTACATAAACACTATTTTAGGGGCTAAATTCGTTTCTTAGGGGATACAGGTTAAAGAGTTTGAAAACTGCTTTACATGTATACAACAGATAAAATGTAACAAATGGTAGATGGTGGGAGCTAGGTTTCTCCGTGGAGGTGAAGCAAGAAAAAACCCCATGGTACTGGGTTAGAGTTGGACTCATGTTTAGCTTAATACATACACTGACTAATAGACACAGAAACAATTTTATATACATAAATTCATGTATCTGCATGGGTTAGTACACATGTATACACATACGCACATCTATATGGATACATATCTACATCCCTGTCGACTGGGAGGACCTAGAAGTGTGATATTCTAGCAGCAAGAAACACACACAGCACCCAGACCTTAGTTTCTCAATTCTATTGTCCAATAAAACAAACTAAGGTTCCTTGGAGAAATGGCTGATTCTAAGGCAGGGACATGGTAAATGCAATATAAATCTGAAGCATCTTGTAGCACTAGAAAGTGAAAGGGCATGTCAAAGGGACAGACAGGTGCTAACCCCAAAGAGCTTTTGAATAGCTGAGGCTGAAATAATTTGAGCAATAATATGATATTTGATATAAAAGTATGAAATAAATGTACAAGTCCATACAATAAGTGATTAGATAAATAAATGGAGAAGAGACAAATCTTTCTCACAGAAGAATTCTATTTAATTTATGTAGCTATTCCCTCCTACAGGAGATGGAATCCCCCACTGTAATCACACCCTGCCTTTATGGGATAGGCTTAGGATTTGTTTCTAAAGAACAGAACACTGAGTGAAAAAGCAGTAACTTTACAGAGGAGGAACCTATAACCAAGTGATGAAATCTTTTATCACCAGTGATGTCATATGAATATCATATACCTCCTGACATGTGATTAGGGCACCTCATCCCTGTGGCATTTCCTTAAAATCCATAGTTCCAGACTAAGCATGAGAAAAACATCAGACAAATCCAGATTGAGGAAATTATGCAAGATACCTAGATAGATACTTAGACAAGACAGATACCTAGACACCTTAAGACTGTCAAGGTCAGGAAAGATGAGAGAAGAGTGGGAAACTGTCCCAGACCAGAGAAGGCTGGGAAGACACAGAAGCTAAATGCAACGTGGTACACTGTACTGGATCCTGGAACTGAAAGAGATTAATGGAAAAACTGTTGAAATACAAATAAAGTCTACAGTTTAGTTAAGGGGGAAAAAAAAATCACATTCTATGATCTTCCTAGGCAAGCCTGATGATAAAATTACTTATTTCCATAAACCTCTTTGACCCCTTAGAAGAATTAACACATGCAATCAGTAATTTTTATTAACTATTTAACATTCGCATTTAATACACTAGCCTATGTATGTTATGAAGCAAAATGTAGTTCCACATTAACATTCTGGCCCAGCTGAGTCCTCCTTTCTAAGTACTTTTGGAAGAATAACAAGTTATTTTTCAATTGTTCACAATAATGGAGGGAAGAGTTTATATACTTCATAAAATTACTTACTGTTCCTTTTAGATTTTGTCATTAGTTTGCAATTCCTTAATATGTGCCACCTAAAAAATGTGAAAGCCACACCAGAAAAAAAAAAATCCACTTGAAATATTAAGAATTGTGCCTTAGCCGGGCGCAGTGGCTCACGCCTGTTATCCCAGCACTTTGGGAGGCCGAGGTGGGTGGACCACAAGGTCAAGAAATTGAGACCATCCTGCTCAACATGGTGAAACCCCGTCTCTACTAAAAATACAAAAAATTAGCTGGGCATGGTGGTGCGTGTCTGTAATCCCAGCTACTCAGGAGGCTGAGGCAGGAGAATTGCTTGAACCCAGGAGGCGGAGGTTGTGGTGAGCTGAGATCATGCCATTGCACTCCAGCCTGGGTAACAATAGTGAAACCCTGTCTCAAAAAAAAAAAAAAAAAATTGTGCCTTAAATCATCCACAAAGTCCAGAGTGAAGCCTCCAATCTTTTTTTTTCCTCTTTAGTTTTGTTTTTTTTTCTTTGAGACAGAGTCTCACTCCGTCACCAGGTGGAGTGCAGTGGTGCGATCTCGGCTCATGGCAACCAACCTCTTCCTCCTGGGTTCAAACGATTCTCCTGCCTCAGCCTTCTGACTAGCTGGGATTACAGGTGCCTGCCACCACACCCAGCTAATTTTTGTTTTAATAGAGACGAAGTCTCACCATGTTTGCCAGGCTGGTCTTGAACTCTTGACCTGAAGTGATCTGCCTGCCTTGGCTTCCCAAAGTGCGTGGGGTATGAGCCACCACTCAGGGCCATCTGTTTTGATTTATATAAAATCGAAGAGCTCTATATCAGATATCTTGATAATCTTAGTAAAGAAAGATTTTCTTGCAAGTTTAAGAAATTGTTTAGGAAAATGTGTAAAATGTTTCACTGGTAGGCTGTGGGGTTCTGCAGAAGAGGCTTCAACAACTCAGAGTTTGGCTGGTGATGGAGGGAAGAGAGGAGAGAACGAATAAAATACCCGGATGGCCCTGTGGCTCACGTCTGTAACTCCAGCACTTCGGGAGGCCGAGGCGGGAGGATCTCTTGAGCCCAGGAGTTACCTGGGCAACATCACGAAATCCTGTCTCTACAAAACATACAAAAATTAGCCAAGCATGGTGGTGTGCGCCTGTGATCCCAGCTACTCAGGAGGCTGAGGTGGAAGGATCGCTTGAGCCCGGGAGTTGGAGGCTGCAGTGAGCCACTGCAGAGTGAGTCCCTGTCTTCTGGGGTGGGGGGCAGGAAAGAAAGAAAAGAAAATACCCAAATCAAACTCAAACCCAGCAAAATAGGCTAACAAATATTACGTGTGTGTGTGTGTTTTTTTTTTTTTAAATTCTGTTTTCTATGAACATTTTATAAATCTGAGCGAAAGTTAAGAGATCTGACCTTCAGTCGCTTACTGGAATATAGCACACCTAGGAAAAACACGTCAATTTAGCTTATCTCACTTCAGGAATAAAATGAATAGCTTACCACTTAGAAGGCAACTGAAATATTAACTGGCCGAATAAACTAGTATTCAGGGGCTGGGATTATTCAGGGTTATTGTGAAATACAGCGGTCTACCAGTGAGGCTCTTCAAGCTGAAAAAATTCCACGAATGCTAAGGTGTAAAAACAAAGATTACTGTTTATACGGAACCCGTTCTATGATTCTTGGGGCACGGATACTCATCCATGAAGTCCATTTCCACCTAAAACTTCCCTCAGATTAAAGCGAAAGTATCTCAGAATCCATCAAAGTGAACGTTCAAAAAACTCACCCAGCCTTAAACATTTCTGTAGACTTCCAAATATTTCACTGAGAACCGGACCATGTGATGAGGCCGAACTGATGTACATTCACACCCTTCTGCCCTTCCTTTTCCTGGCTCGCCTAACAGAGCCAACCCCCCAGATCCTTGCTCTTAGCGATCTCAGGGGGCGTAATGGCTGCAGCTGCCGGGCAATGCCGGGCATCCTTCACGCTACCTCCCTTCCCCGTCATGGTTAGAATTCAGGAACTTCTAGGCTGGGTAGAGAACCCAATCTGCAGGTCAAGCGAGCGGAAGGCTGAAGGAGAGTCGCCAACCTGCCTCCGGCTCCCTCCACCAGCAGGCCATCCCGCCCCGGCTCCCGCAAGGCCCCTCGAGTCTTTGCCGCCTGCTTCTACCTCTCAGGCCATCGCAGGCCTCCCCGCCGACCGTGTGCCCCACCTCGGCAGTCTCATATCGGGCTCACCGTTCACCAGCGCCGGGGTCTTCTCCACAAGGTTACGGATAAATTGGGCCATGGTTCTGGGATGGAAAGTCCGTCGCCCCGAACGGCCGCCTGAATGTCACCCCCCCGGAAGGACCCACTGCAGGACCCCGTCCCACTTCCAAGGTCAGGCCGCCTCTTTCCGCGCCGGTCCAAGATATTTAAATGTCCAAAGATCTTTGCAGGATCTAGTCTGTCAATTTATTTTTTTCAACATGGAGAGAAAGTGGATATCAAAAGATGATATTAGAGAGCATGTGAAGAACAGTGGGATGCTACAGAGAAGCAGGCATTTTGTGGGGCAGCCACTGGTAGAAATCCGGAAAACCGACAAGGAAGGGAAATGCGCATGCGCCCTGAAGCTGCAGTGCTTTTCTTGCCGTCGACCTCAGCTATTTCGTGCAGGGTGCTTTCACAGTGATTCTGTTGCCTAAGTATGAAGTCAGTATTGGAGAAGGATTCGCTGAGATTCTTCTAGTCCAACACGATCGTTGTACAGAGGTAGAGAGAGTCCAAGGCCAAATATGTAAAGTTAGGGGCTGAGCAAGAACCACACAACCTGTCACCGGCTCAATCCATAGCCCTTTTTATTTTTTTGAGATAGTCTCGCTCTGTCGCCCAGGCCGAAGTGCAGTGGCACGATTTCGGCTCACTGCAACCTCGGGCCCCCAGGTTCCAGAGATAGTCGTGCATCAGTCTCCCGAGTAGATTGGACTACAGGTGCCCGCCACCACGCCCTTGCAGCAAGTTACTGTATTTTGAGTAGACACGGGGTTTCACCATGTTGGTCAGGCTGGTCTCGAACTTCTAGCCTCAAATGATCCACTCGCCTAGGTGCTGAGATTACAGGGTGAGCCACCGCGCCTGGCCCCATAATCTCCAACTTTTTTTTTTTTTTTTTTTTTTTTTTTTTTTGAGACGGAGTTTCGCTCTTGTTACCCAGACTGGAGTGCAATGGCACGATCTCGGCTCACCGAAACCTCCGCCTCCTGGGTTCAGACAATTCTCCTGCCTCAGCCTCCTGAGTAGCTGGGATTACAGGCACGCGCCACCATGCCCAGCTAATTTTTTGTATTTTTTTTTTGTAGAGACGGGGTTTCACCATGTTGACCAGGATGGTCTCGATCTCTTGACCTCGTGATCCACCCGCCTCGGCCTCCCAAAGTGCTGGGATTACAGGCGTGAGCCACTGCGCCCGGCTTTTTTTTTTTTTTTTTTTTTTGAGATGGAGTTTCGTTCCCATCGCGCAGGCTGGAGTGCAGTGGCGCGATCTCGTCTCACTACAACCTCTACCTCCCGGGTTCAAGTGATTCTCCAGCCTCAGCTTCCCGAGTAGTTGGGATTACAGGTGCGCGCTACCATGCCCGCCTAATTTTTGTAATTTTAGTAGAGTTGGGGTTTCGCCATGTTGGCCAGGCTGGCCTTGAACTCCTGACCTCAGGTGATCCTCCAGCTTTGGCCTCCCAAAGTGCTAGGATTACAGGTGTGAGCCACTGCGCCTGGCTGATAGCCCTTCGTAAAGCTGATTTTTTTTGTAATCCCACTCTCCCCAAAATCTTGTATCAGGATTTGAATCCATTTTCCCTAATTTCCTAATTAGCTACAAGGAGCTGTGCAGATGTGAGGAACAAAATCACACGTACTGAACGCCAACACTATGCCAGGCATTTTGGAATTTAAAGAAAGCCTGTGTTTTAAGGCATTGTTCCCGTTGAGACTGGGCTTGAAAAATGACCACACAATTTGGAAGTGGCAGAGTTGAGATCTGAAGAAGTTGGAATGTAATCTCAGAGATGGGCATTCTATGAGATTAGGCATGGTGCTGATTTGAGCATACTTCCTAGAGAAGATCCTTGAGCCGATGTGTGAGAGAACAGTTGTATACTACAGAGGGCTGAAACTTCATAGTTTAATATGAGGAGGAAAAGATGTCATGTAGGGAAGTGGCATTTGATGAAAGGAACAGAACTGTAAGTATCCTGGAGAAGTCTGAGCAGAAGTAAATCTCTGATTTATGGAATGGTTACAGAGGTGAAAAGAAAAATTAGAAGTGATATCAGGAACTAAGAACTTTTCAATGAAGGAGTGATTCTCCTGCCCTAGTATAATGCAGAGAAGTCAAATTAAGGATGGGAAAGTTAATTTAGCACTATGGAAATCTTTAAGATTAATGCAGCTTCAAAAAATTAGGACAGAAGCCAGGGTGAATGGTGAAGAAATACGACTGTAAAGGATTACAAGCCAGAAAACCAAAGGGGGATGTGCAACTCAGGGGAGAAATTGAAGACAGAGAGAGGCAATGATGTGGGTCTTGCCATATTGTCCAAGTTAGTCTTAAACTCCTGGCCTCAAGAGATCATCCCACTTCAGCCTCTCGCTTAGCTCTGGATATTACAGGCACAGGCCACCCTGCCTGATGAGAAGGGATACTGACAAGAGCCCTAATGAGGCAGGAAAGGAGAAATAGCCAGAGATCGATGGGGCCTTTTCCACAGATGGGATGATGGGAGAGAAGTTTGAAAGTCTTCGAAGTCTCTGAAGTTTTTATCTTCCCAGCAAAATAGAAGACAAAGTCATCAGAGTGCAAGTGGTAAATGGGAGGGGAGGATGGGAAGGAATTTAAGGAAGGAGGCCAAAGTTTGGAATAGCTGAAGGATACACAGAAGGGTTGTTGGGCAACAGTAGAGACAAGTCTGTGGTTGCACCATTCTAAAAGTTGTGTTTATCCTCCATCAGTGGTCTGCAGTTTGGATACTGCGGCAGAGGGGAATGGCTGAGTTAATCTAGGCTGAGATCTTGCATGGCAGGGGTACAGAAACAACGAGCAAGAAAAGGGAAGATAACAGCAAATGATTCCAGAGACCTGGGGTTCAAGCCAGACAAAGAAAAACAGTGAAGCCAAAAGAGAGCTGGTTAGGAAAACCATGCCGTGACATTCATCTCCTGAGGGTAACCCCAGGATCCCCTCCAGAGGCCTGGTAAGGCAGGCTGGGTCTGCCAGGTCACACATAGTTGATATTACCTGCCTAAAAAAAAAAAAAAAAAGAGTTAAAAGTCAGAATCCTCTAAGTTTTCAGGGCGATTTCTGAAACTGGCACTAACTTTTAATACTGTAATAAAGTGATAACAAAGGTTGTAAGTCAGGTGTTCATTTATTAAATACAAGTTTTGAACAAACACTGCCAGGCAAGTTTGACAAGTAGTAACCTTCCTGGAATGTTTCAAAATACAGTGGTGTTGATCAAGTTTAACTTCAATCAACCTTTTTCTTCATTTTCTGTTTCTAGGTTCATTTCCTGTTGAGCAATTAGAGCATGTGCATTATTTCCTCACATGACATCAACAATGCAGCATCAGCCTCTGGCTTGTAAAGGCACCCAGTAGACTTATGCTCTGTGCAGTGGCTGCTTAGCAACCAGCATCAAATAAAGTAATGAAGCTTTTGTAGAGTGTGATACCAAATAGCAACTGGCACCTTCACCTGCACCATTGAAAAACCTTTAAAGTTTCCTTCAGTTTTCACATATCCATTAAAAACTTTATTAAAAAACAAAACCCACACTGCTTGATAAAACATACTTAAACAATTTTCCAAGTTTAGTATTAGCCTCTTGGTAAGTTATGACCAATACCAGAGCTGAGTAAAGAGTCTTCATTTTCTGTCATACTCCAGGAAAGCCAACACATGAAACTAGGTATGTTAGAAAGTCAGCTCTACCAGATTTAGAGCTGCTTCTAAGTTCCAGACAAAACATCTTTTTAAGCTTCCAAGGGTATATACACATGGTGTTGAACCAAGGTGATAACTTTTTAAAGTCTAATTTTTTTGGATGTCCTTAAATTACTTCACAGAATGAAAAAAGGCACAGAGGACACTTGGTTTCCTTATCGTAGTGGCCTTAAGCGACACACTTGCCTGTGCAAAGAGTTTACAGATATTCAGCAGCATTCATGGTGCCATAGCCATTCATAAAAACTTTCAGGAAAAGAGCTTAAGAAAAGAAGACAAGCTTGCCAGAAAAGGCTTACAATCTGAAGGTTAAATACAGAAGAATACAGAGACTGGAGGCAGCATGGAGGTTGTTAACTAGGAAGCTGCTGGGAATAGCTGCCTTCTGAGTTTTTGTGCCCATTTTCCTCCCGTTTTTTCTTGAAAAACTCTGGTCTTCTCCCCTCTTGTTTTTAAAATGAAAACATTCTACTGGATTGAACATCCTACTAGATTGGGTTTGGAGGATAAATGCAAATAGGCAGAAGCTTATTTTATGCATAGTTCATTCTCAGAGAGGGAAAGGAGGATAATAAATATTGAATGAAGCTAATTTTAGAAAACAAATCCTGTCAACCCATGCCTTAAAGGCCCGGGGAGCACACTGAATGAATCTTACGTTCTGGCATTGCGAAAGTGTCCTCAACTTCTTTTTCATTTACAAGCACAGCAATAGGCAACATCTATTTTATATCTGGGGTGGGAAGCCGTCTTAAATTTGAGGATTTCCAGCTGATACCATCAAAAACACATCAAGGACTGCTTATAGCCACTTGTGTTGAAATATAAAACTACTGTTTTACTTGAAAGAGACCATGGTTAATAATATGTTCCAGATGAAGCAGTGACACCAGTTTCTTGATCCTATCACTTTTCTAGTCACTTATGATATCTCTAGGCTTAGAAAGATAGTGATATAAAGACAATCCATAGGGGAATGTCCCTAGTTAGCATATTAAGCTGCACAATTGAGTAGTGAGCTCAAGCTCAACTGCAGTGGTGTCCATCTACTTACTAACTACACAGGGCTAACTGTGTATTTAAAATGGCTTATGGACAAGGTTGTGCTCAAATTCCTACTTTGTTAATTGAAGACCTAAAGCTGTGTTAAAAGCAGCTCTTAGAAGTCAGGTCACAAGCCCAAACAAATATTAACTATATACATTTTATAATCTCAGAATTTTCTTAAGAATGAGTATGCTAGTAAACATGGCCACATACTACATACATCTCACTATGGAAGAGAAAATATAAAGTGGTACTCAGTTTACCCTAAATCAACATAAAAAAGCACATGGTGTGTGTGTATATATCTCACACTGAGATACACTGTTGATATTAGTGTCTTAA